CGTTTCAGCCTATGAAATATCTCATCAAGGGACTCGGATGAGGAATGGTTAGACATAGGTTTACTTTCCTGAATTTGACGAAGGGGAAGAAATTTTTTCGCCTCTACGTTTGCTTTGAAACTTTGAAATTTTGACTTCATTGTTCCCCACGTAGAGGCCAAACGAGAAGATGGCTCACCTGTTATGTTACTGGAGCGAGAGTTGTCAGCATCGAGCAAAGAAACCTTGGCTGAGGTTATGTTCTTCTCCGCTGGTTTTGAATTGGATGCTTGTCTACTCTGTTCTCTCATGGCAGCATATTTGTTACCAATAGATTCTTTGCTTGTTGCATATCTGCGAACCTCTTCTCTCGGTGGTTTTGATGAAACTCCATTTGTGCCATCAGCTTCAACATTATTTGTTGCCCTCATTTCCATGGCACTCTTAACCTGAAAAATTTGCGTTTGAGTTAGAATGTGAATAAGATAACTTAGTTATTTGTTCCTAGTGATGATAAAAATGGACATATAACGAGAAGTGATGACACAAAGAAAGCAACTTCCTTGGCATGCAGTATCCATGAAGATCTCCTCATTCATTGCAAAATCATTTAAATCAATATAAAGAGAAACACCTACAGTTATTATGCATGCATATATGATTTTCTTTATTAAATACTTGTATATGTAAATTGAATTCTTAATTAGGGTATAAAATGTCAGCTTCCATATTTTTATCTTTACATACTGTATTGCTGCCGGACTCGATATCAGCCCCATTAAAATTCCGAGCCAAGGGGACAACATGTTCACCAACATTTTTTCCTTCTTCAAGCCATGATCGCTCTAGAAAATAAACATAAAAGAAAAGAAAAGAACTGTCAAAGAAACTAGAAGATTCAAGAACTGCAATTACTGCATAGACAGCACATTAGCTTAGAGCATAAACTGATAAGAATTGTAAACAGTAATAAGTAATTAAAGAACCTTTTTGCAAAATTATTAATCCTGAAGGATCAAACCCATCTGTATCATCTGCCTCTGTTTGAAATCTGAGCCTCTTCCAGCTTCCAAAGAACCCAATTACGCGATCAAAGAAGTTGCTTGCAACCAACAACGTGTAGATAACCATGATAAGAGGATAGATTCTGTTAAATCCTTTCCCAAAAAATGAAACAGCATCATCAATCTTCCCCATACGCTGCAAGATGAAAAGAACACACCGAAGTAATTATAAAATTTCCAGCAGAAGATAGACAAAAAACAATTTTGTAGCCCAACCCATAAGCTTTAAGATTACAAGGAGAAAACTTAGGGTTAGGAAAAAGATATTGATGAAAGAAAAGTTCAAACTAGAAACTAGACCCATAAATTTCGGCCGCCTGAGCAAATGATAAACTGGAATCAGAGGATAGAAAGTAGAATTGACTTTCCAGATATATCTAGGTCCTTTTTTTTTTCCAAATCTCTAAGCAGGCAACTTAACCACAATTTATCCCATATCAAACTAAGCAAGTAAATCAGAAACCTACATTTTCTGACTTACTATATAGTATACAACAGAAGCATAATTCTCGCATATCACCAAATGCCAAGTGTTTTACTTTTAAGATCAGTGGTCTGCTTTCAGGAAAAGATATCTATCTATCAGGGAAAGAAACTAAAAAGAGAATTTTTACTGCACCTATGTAGCACCTGTATGCATGAGATGATACCTAGAATGTTGACAAATGACGTCAGCTTAGTCATGCCATAAATTTTTTGCCTTAGTCAATGCCTGTTAATCATTTCAGATTCAAATAGGGACCAACTAATATCCTGAAAAAGGAAATACCTTTTCAAATATTGTTCG